ATAATGGAGTAAGCAATAAAAAAATGTTTACTTATTTACTACATCTTGACCTTATTGAAGCTATTTTATAGCATAAAGCACTAAAATAAAAAAAAACATAGCTAGCTCTGTACATGTACTATATAGCATCCACTAATTATTCTTAAAAACTAAAAACTCAGCTATAGATGGCATTTCTTGAAGAAACTCATCATTTTCGGAATTAGCTTTGTAAAAAATATCCCCAAAATATAACAGTATCCTCTTAAGACAAACACAGAGCTTGAGCTCACATTAAAAAAATACACTCTCCCTTACCAAAGTAAAATTATTGCAGCAATATTGCTGCTATATTGCGGCAACATTGCGGCAACACATTTTTGTCACCAGAAACAAGTTTTTTGGGTTAGTGAAATATCACCGCTAGCGGCAACAACTTCTGGTGACATTCTGGCAATACTGCCAGAAAAAATGAAATATCACCGCTAGCTGCAACAACTTCCGGTGACATTCTGGCAATACTGCCAGAAAAAACTTTCTGGCAACATCTAGGATTACCCATGAGCCATTTGTTGAGCATGCTCAGTCATTTACTTCCTCTTTTTAAATAAAGTGGAGGGAATTCAAAGGCAAGCATGTTTTGCTTCATTACTGACTTGTATCAAGTTAATTAGAGTTGTTAATTGTGTACAGTGGGATTAGTCAAGATGAGTAGTAAGACTGCATAGTGTGGAATGACTAGAAAAAAGAATTTAAGCAGAATTATAGGAATGTGTACTCTGTTTCCATATCATCAGACTTGGTGAGTCAAAACCAATATTCTTTTTGAGATGAATGATTCAATGGAGATAAAATTGGAAAAATTATATGTGTTTCAATTAGTGCTTGTGATGTATGCAAACTAGACTTGTATGTCTATATATCCTAAAGTAGCAGGAAAAGATGAATTAAAGCATGTTATTTGAAAATTAATGCAGAGTTGCTGGACATTTTCACAGTGGCATATTAATATTGTTTCTATAAACATTTTTTATGCGCCTGTCTCGATAGATCAGGGGCACATATGGTTTTTGTCCTGTCTGTGTTTGTAAACTTTAACCTTCACCATTACTTTTGAACCCATGAGAGATAAAGATTTCATATTTGGTATGTCTACTCCACTAATTAAGTTCTTTCAAATGACATCAAGGTCAATGACCTTGTGACCTTGACTGTGACCTATATGCTAAAAATAGCTTTTTTGAATATTCATCATAACTTAAAATTAATGAAAGATAGAGACTGTATATTTAGTATGCATAATTCACTAATAAAGCTTTTTCAAAAGACACCTGAAGGTCAATGACCTTGAGACCTTGGCTGTGACCCATATCCTTAAAATAGATGACACCTGAAGGTCAATGACCTTGAGACCTTGGCTGTGACCCATATCCTTAAAATAGATTTTTTGAACTTTGGACATAAATTTTGAGCCATAAAAGATAGAGAACTTGTATTAAGTATGCACCCTTCATTAATTAAGCTCTTTCAAATAACACCAAGGTCAATGACCTTGGGACCTTGACTGTGACCATATACTTCAAATAGATTTTTTGAAACTTCGACATAACTTTTGAGTCATAAAAGATGGAGAATTCATATTTGATATGCACCCTTCACTAATTAAACTCTTTCAAGTAACACCAAGGTCAATGACAATTTGACCTTTACTGTGACCCATATGCTAAATTAGCCATTTTGATCCTCTGCCATAAATTTTGAACTATAAGAGATAGAGACTTCATATTTAGTATGCATACTCCACTAATTAAGTTCTTTCAAATGACACCAAGATCAATGACCTTGTGACCTTGACTGTGACCCATTTGCTATAAATAGCTTTTTCAAACTTTATTGTCACCAGGCGCATAGTGTTTCACAATCATATCTTGATTTTCATTATGATGATCAACATAATTTTCTATCTGTTCAAAGAATCGCAGAAGTAGCTATTTCTTATTGACCCTGTGGCTTGCTATTGTTTGTTATATTCCTCAGCACAGTTTGTTAATTGTTAGATTGATAGATCATTATTTCTATTAAATACCAATTTATATCTAATTTACATACGAAAAACTATATTGCCGCAATATTGCGGCAATAATGCCGGAAGATGTTGCCAGAAGATCAGTATTTTGGTCATGATTTGCAGCAATATTGCCGCAACCCCTTTCTGGCAATATTGCCGCAAAACTAATTAACATACGAAAAACGATATAGCCGCAATATTGCGGCAATAATGCCGGAAGATGTTGCCAGAAGATCAATATTGTGGTCATGATTTGCAGCAATATTGCCGCAACCCCTTTCTGGCAATATTGCCGCAAAACTAATTTACATACGAAAAACGATATAGCCGCAATATTGCGGCAATGTATTGCCAGAATGTTGCTGCAATATTGCGGCAATAAAGCCAGAAGATGTTGCCAGAAGGTCAATATTTTGGTAAGGGCTCAAATATCTGTTATACAAATACTGTCTCCACATTTGAGGCAGTGTCAATATTGCTGTATATCTACTTTGAGTTCTATTAACATAAAATCCAATAATTTGCTACACTCTTAATTCTCATAAAAATTTTCTATTGCATTTCAGAAATATATCTCCAACCAGTAATTTAAACTACCGTACTTTTCTTATGACAACATTTCATTTTCTATAACTTACTAAAAATAGCACAGGGTAATACGGGACCTTGAGAATCAGGCTTTGCTAAAAATAACTTCGTCTCACTAATTCAAGACTAGTATATTTCTTCATATCTGAGACATAAATTGTATTTGTCACTGTAAACATGAACACTTTATTTTTTTATATATATAGCAAGCTGCCAATTTAATGCATAATAACTTCTGAGTTGGGTAGATCAAACAAGATGTACAAAATAATATATATTATAAAAATGTAATTAAGATGCAAAATATGATACTCTAAACAAAGTTGTATAATAACATCAAAGAATCAAATCTTAACTTTTCTTAATTGTTAAAATAATTTAAGAATTGTTCTATATAAAGTTGTGTACTTCACAGTATTATTAGAATTAGATGTTACAGAGTATACGTGTACTCCCATACCCAGCTGTAGCTACAAGTGAGTAAGAAGATGGAATATCTAATTTGAATTACATCATGTATACTTTGACCAGTGCATTATTTTGATTTTATTTGGATATAAAGATAAAACTGCTAATTTACATGTACTAAATGAGTTGATTGAAAACTTGTTGAGCACCCCTTGTATCCTCAAACTGAAAGTGTACTTAATTTTGCATACCCTGCATCACAAAATAGCACATAAGAAGGAAATGAAGGAATCAGTGCACTCATGAAATAGCACTTTTAGTATATAAATGTCATGTTTAATGCATAAAATCATACATCTGAACAGGGAAAAAATGATATCAAATTTTCTGCTGAAACAAATTCACAAATAGTTAACATGGAGACAAAAATCTTTAACCTCTTATCAAATTTGATAAATCTAGTACCATATGGATAACACTTTTGATTGACATATTAAAAATAATAATAATCCATTCATCTAGACTCTAGTTAGATTTAATCAAAATTTGTTAAATAGAAACAAAATACATAAAATTGTCTTGTACTGATAAAAAAGATAGCACTTTGTCCAATACACTCAAATAAAAGTCACTTATCATCATATTATATATTGCACATATTGTCCTCAGTACATATAGTTATTCAAGCTAAATTTGCCATTCTTGTCACACATAATACTTGTACAAACAATATTTACATCCATTGAAGATTTATCATGAAAACCTCTTCTTCATCAATCAGCAAACACTGCTTTGGATTTATTTTAAGTCATCTGTACAGATTTCTTATGCTTTGTGCTTATCAATCAAACAGACATTAAACCTACTTTATATGATAATTTATACAGACATAAATGTTTTCTTTGTTTGTTAGAATGAGAATTAGTGTTGCAGCTATTGAAGAAAAAATGCATACACATGCAGGTATGTATGTTATCTGCAACAATTATAAATATTAATTCCTGTACTAACAAAATAATCATATTTTAATCTAAGTATATATACATATATATTTTCTAATGGTAATATACATATTTACAATTTGAAACAGCACTTATTTTCAAAGACATTACACCTTGGAAAAATAATTGGTAGAAAATACTTCCTAAACTAAAAGGAAATTTTGCATTAAAAATATTTACAATATTAAGTATAAAACAGCATTTCTGATGTTAAAAAAACACACATCATGAAGGTAAGAAAATTATCAATATTCCTTATTTACTGTGGTTTCATCAATTTTTGTTGCTGTCAATTTTCGTGGATATTGTAACACGGACGTTTTTGATGATATGCAATTTTGTGGACGAAAGCATTGTCTACACAAATAAATAACACATTTCTCAAATCAATGAACACTTAATTTCATGGATCTGCTCAAGGACGAATTCCTCGAAAATTTGTGCTCAACGAATATTGATGAAACCACAATACAGTTAAGTTTATGCCAATATTTCAAACCACTGTGCCCTATTAATTGAGGAATCAGGATACAGTCAAACTGAACAATTACAATAATACACAACTAAACATAAACTCTTTACACTTGTTTTATTCCTGTCCCCATAAAGTTAAACATGTGCTATTTCTCCTTTTATAGTAGACATCGTAAAGAAAAAAAATCTGTTCTCATTAAATTGAAAACATAATTATAGATGATTTCAGTGAAATGATTTTGTCAAAATTTTGTTCAGAAATGCTGTCTACTCAAAAAAAAAAAATACTTTCACAGAAAAACTTTAAGCCAAAAAGGGCTTTATATTAATTTCAACAATATGAGTGATATCCTTTGACATGGATCAGTCTCAAATACTGTAAATGTTAGATGGGATTACCCGGGTAAAGTTTGTTACATTTCAATGAATATGATAAACATGGAAATATGTACATATATACAAGACTACATTGTACCAGTACAGGTAGCAGCTGCCAAAATCACAGATCTATAAGTTGCACAGTTTCTATGCAAAAGACATTGTGACCGTATCTTTGATAGGCTTTCTACAAATAGGACATTTTTTCTTTGGCAGACTGTCCACACAACCTTGACATGAGATCAGGTGATTACAGGGAGTGAAGAACACCTGGACCTCTTTTACCCAACAGATCTTACACTTGGACCTGTGAGACTGAGCGGACAGTCGATGATTTTCCATCTCTAGCTCTCGCACTCTCCTTTGTAACACCCCTTCAGGAAGCTGCTGAATTCTCTCCTCCAACATTCTTACCCTCTGTCTCTCCTGTTGTAGCATCCTGTCCTTCTGTTGACTGACCAGTCTCTCCTGTTGTAAGGCTTGCTGGTGTTGTTGCTGGTTCTGTAGGATGATCCTCTCCTTCTGCTGCAGCCTCTCTCTGAGTGACTGGTTCTTCTGTCGGGATTCCCTCACTTCCTGTGTGGTCTCCTCCACAACCCTCAGTGTCTCCTCCATCTCTCTCCTTGTCTCTGAGATCTCTTGGTCCTTCTCTGCCACCTCTTTCTCCTTCTCTGCCACCTCTTTCTCCAGTTGGACTACAATAGTTGCAAATAATTTTTAAAACCATTCTCTTAAATGTTAGCAATTGGTCAAGAATTCATTCATATGATAACATTCATTAAAGAGCTAATTCCTTATTCATATACTTTGATATGTGATGTTAATTATAGTGTAATCATGTAATCAAACAATTTAAAACATATCAAACAAGAACTAACAAAATGTTTTTAATGTAAATACATTACATCTTTAAACACACATACAAAACTGTTACTATCCTTTTGTTTACCCTGGTAATTTACATGTGTGCAAAGAAGTAAACAACGCACTGAAGATCAAACCATTCTTTACCTATACCTTTCTTGTTGTGGTGGATTTCAACAAACTCCTCGGGAGAGGGGAGGAAACCTAAATAAGGAAATTATACTCTAAGATTTACACATATTAATGATTTTTTGATGAAATAAAATAATTCGTATACAAATCCTACTAACAATTTGTGATCAAATTCTTACTATGGTTTATGTTAAATTCCAATTGTCTTATCACATTTCAAGGGAGACAACTTTTTGTCTTTGTGGTAACCATAAAAATAGCCATTGGCTGTTTTACAATTTTCTGGGCCGGGGCAATCACACTTACTGTTGTTCTTTAACCACTCCCCCAACACTCTCTCAAAGTCCTCAAAGGAATATTCATTCTCATCCACCACAATGTGTCGGAGTTCCTCATATGTGTAATCCTGGGGAAGCCCAGAGTCATCCAGCCGTGACCTCTCTCCTCCCATACTCCTGATATGGTCCACTGCATTTGTCAACTTTTCACCTTTTCTGTGTGCAGCTATCCCTAAAAACATTTTTTTAAAATTTATCATATCATGAAAATAATACAGAATTTTTGCTTATTCATTTCTCACTGCTTCCTGACTAGAATACACCACACAGTTATAGCCCTTACCAAAATACTGACCTTCTGGCAACATCTTCTGGCTTTATTGCCGCAATATTGCAGCAACATTCTGGCAATACATTGCCGCAATATTGCGGCTATATCGTTTTTCGTATGTAAATTAGTTTTGCGGCAATATTGCCAGAAAGGGGTTGCGGCAATATTGCTGCAAATCATGACCAAAATATTGATCTTCTGGCAACATCTTCCGGCATTATTGCCGCAATATTGCGGCTATATCGTTTTTCGTATGTTAATTAGTTTTGCGGCAATATTGCCAGAAAGGAGTTGCGGCAATATTGCTGCAAATCATGACCAAAATATTGATCTTCTGGCAACATCTTCAGGCATTATTGCCGCAATATTGCGGCAATATAGTTTTTCGTATGTAAATTAGATATAAATTGGTATTTAATAGAAATAATGATCTATCAATCTAACAATTAACAAACTGTGCTGATGAATATAACAAACAATAGCAAGCCACAGGGTCAATAAGAAATAGCTACTTCTGCGATTCTTTGAACAGATAGAAAATTATGTTGAACATCATAATGAAAATCAAGATATGTTTGTGAAACACTATGCGCCTGGTGACAATAAAGTTTGAAAAGCTATTTATAGCATATGGGTCACAGTCAAGGTCACAAGGTCATTGATCTTGGTGTCATTTGAAAGAACTTAATTAGTGGAGTATGCATACTAAATATGAAGTCTCTATCTCTTATAGTTCAAAATTTATGGCAGAGGATCAAAATGGCTATTTTAGCATATGGGTCACAGTAAAGGTCAAATTATCATTGACCTTGGTGTTACTTGAAAGAGTTTAATTAGTGAAGAGTGCATACCAAATATGAATTCTCCATCTTTTATGACTCAAAAGTTATGTCGAAGTTTCAAAAAATCTATTTTAAGTATATGGTCACAGTCAAGTTCCCAAGGTCATTGACCTTGGTGTTATTTGAAAGAGCTTAATTAATGAAGGGTGCATACTTAATACAAGTTCTCTATCTTTTATGGCTCAAAATTTATGTCCAAAGTTCAAAAAATCTATTTTAAGGATATGGGTCACAGCCAAGGTCTCAAGGTCATTGACCTTCAGGTGTCTTTTGAAAAAGCTTAATTAGTGAATTATGCATACCAAATATAAAGTCTCTATCTTTCATTAATTTTAAGTTATGATGAATATTCGAAAAAGCTATTTTTAGCATATAGGTCACAGTCAAGGTCACAAGGTCATTGACCTTGATGTCATTTGAAAGAACTTAATTAGTGGAGAAGACAACCCAAATATGAAATCTTTATCTCTCATTGGTTCAAAAGTAATGGTGAAGGTTAAAGTTTACAAACAAACAGACAGGACAAAAACCATATGTGCCCCTGATCTATCGAGACGGGCGCATAAAAAATGTTTATAGAAACAATATTAATATGCCTCTGTGAAAATGTCCAGCAACTCTGCATTAATTTTCAAATAACATGCTTTAATTCATCTTTTCCTGCTACTCTAGGATATATAGACATACAAGTCTAGTATGCATGCATCACAAGCACTAATTGAAACACATATAATTTTTCCAATTTTATCTCCATTGAATCATTCATCTCAAAAAGAATATTGGTTTTGACTCACCAACTCTGATGATATGGAAACAGAGTACACATTCCTATAATTCTGCTTAAATTCTTTTTTCTAGTCATTCCACACTATGCAGTCTTACTACTCTTCTTGACTAATCCCACTGTACACAATTAAAATCTCTAATTAACTTGATGCAAGTCAGTAATGAAGCAAAACATGCTTGCCTTTAAATTCCCTCCACTTTATTTAAAAAGAGGAAGTAAATGACTGAGCATCCTCAACAAATGGCTCATGGGTAGTCCTAGATGTTGCCAGAAAGTTTTTTTCTGGCAGTATTGCCAGAATGTCACCGGAAGTTGTTGCAGCTAGCGGTGATATTTCATTTTTTCTGGCAGTATTGCCAGAATGTCACCAGAAGTTGTTGCCGCTAGCGGTGATATTTCACTAACCCAAAAAACTTGTTTCTGGTGACAAAAATGTGTTGCCGCAATGTTGCCGCAATATAGCAGCAACATTGCTGCAATAATTTTACTTTGGTAAGGGAGGCTTTAATTATTGCATCAACTGATCTCTGGCTGTATTGCTTTCTGCCTAGGACTAGTACATGTATTATATATAGCATTTTGTGGTGTAAATCCCATTTTCAAGACACCAAGCAAACTTTGGAGTTTAATTGTTTAAGAAGATAGAAAGCATAGATCATAATAAGCAGTTTTCCACTGTGTTTTCTCTTCAAATATAAATGCAATTCTGAGGAGGTGGCACTCTTTGTTATTTAGAGTAAGATACCTTTTGTAATAATACTACTACCCGGTATGTGATACATAAATTTATTACAGAAGCAGGTGCCTGTGATAGAAAGCTGTAAGTGATCCTCATGAAAAATAAAAATATTTTCTTCATATCCATTGTAACAAACTTACAGTTTACAGAATCTTTTTGCAGTGAATACCAAACTTACCTCCCTTGAGAGTGTTGAGGTATTGTATGGCCGTAACAAGCTCCTCCTGAGTTACCTCCTCCTCATCAAAGAGTTCCCTGAAGGCCTCCACATAACCCTCTGTCAGCTCCTCCTCAATGTTCACCTCAGAGTGAGGCTCAGAGGAGCAGGAGGAGGACAGGGAGAGGAGGTGTCGGGGTATCCCCACCCCACAACAGGAGGAGGCACTGCTTGTCTGATCCCTCTGTGTTACTCGGGACCCACCCACTGATTTATCAGAGACTGGTACTTTTGGGGTCCCCACACATTTTCTTTGAAACCAGAATGAAAGAAGTACCACGACGGTAACAGCTGTCACTCTGCAAATCTCCATGTTGACAGAGAGCTGCTTCATAGAGCTGTGGTATATAATTCCTAATGCTGCTATGACCAGACAGATGTACACATCTTGTCTGATGTTCCTATTCCTCCATCGAGGGAGATAACTCTGGATCAGCCTCAGCAGGGACGTCTCCAGGAAAGAGTGATTCCAGTCGATCAGAATCACGGCCAGGGAGGTGGACATGAAGACAGACTCGGCGAGTAAGGGGAAAACTGAGCTCAGGTGACTCAGGTCTGAGGTCATCTGGAAATAGAGACAGCTAGGCATTTAGTTTTTATTGACATGTTGGACAAGTATCATATAAATGATCACAAAAGCTATAAAACAAATTATTCAATGCATAACTTTATGCTTTAACTTTAATTTTACTGAGAGAATTTTTAAGAAATTTAATCATTAATGGTATATTTAATCAATAATGAAAGCTATGCACTCTCAACTTAAATATCGTAGAAGTGGCAATTTGAGCGAGAGGCAAATCTAGCGATTTGTCCAGAAAATTTGGTAATTTATTTCTAGTGATGTGTAATTTAAGCAATTTTAATTGCTCACTCAAGAAAGTATATTTACAAATAAAATGCAATCAATTTTTTACGACATTCAATTTTAGCGATTTAAGCAACCTCGCTAATAATGCCTAAATTAAATCCTCACTAAAAATCCTACTTGTAGGGTAATCAAAATCTCGGGAAAAATTTGTGATGTTTTCCTCAGTGTAAGCTGCACTTCTCCAAACATTAAAGCAAGATAAGCATATTTTGGACTTTAAATTATTTGATTGATGAAGCATCGATACATAAAATTCTTATTTTAGTTAACAAAGTGACTTGGTAGAGAAATGTAACCACAGAAGATAACTAGTGCTAATTGTAACGGGGACCGTTACAGATGTTCCCCAAACGCTCCCCATGTCCCTTATCGTGCCTTATTCCTCTAAGACCTTTTATAAATACGCTAAGTATCCCAAGATTTCATTTAAGAATATAAAAGTTACAATGATATCAACTATCAAGGATATATTGTTTAACGTTTTGCATGCGCGCACACGTACATGTACATGCATATGCAAGATGATTATGGCATGTTGATTAAGCGATTAACATATCTTTCTATCCCGCGAATCAAAGAAAAAAATACATATATAAATTTACCATTTTTCAAGCATATGTCATATTTTTAATATATCGATTCACATTTTATTTCTCTACTTATTTTAACCTCGGGCTCAAAGTTGGTTTTATTCCGACGACAAGGCAGGGTTAAAGTCGACTAAGGGTATAACGCCAATACCTAACCAATGAAAATGAACTTATTCAATAGTAGTTCCATACATGGAAAAGGGATTTTCCTTTCTGTTCAGAATTTTTTTAATATTTCCTCTCAGGCCATTTTGACAACTCTGATACCTGTGCCTGGTAAATTTTATATACTTTGTAAATAAATATATAAAGGTTTTTTGACCGGAACTATTCATTTTTTCCAATGCATAGGGGGCTACTCTCTGGGTTTTACAAGAGATGTTTAAAAAGACATTCGTGTCAGCTAATGTGACCTATATTGTTTAACTCCTTCTTATTAATATTTTTTTTTCATGAATGCAAATATCTGATTATTTTACGAAGGAGCGTACATGTATATTGATTTTTTAATATACCGAAAATCGCTATTTCTGGGGATTGCGTAATTCTAAAAAAAAATCAAATAAATTTCAAAGGTAAATTAAACAAAGGATGCTTGGTATTAAAATATTATTTCAAATCAGTAGAATCGAATGCTATTAACGACATCTGAATAAATAGGCTATAAAAGGCTTATATGCCAACTTTGGTCATCTGCACTTTGATTTTAAACACGACAGGATTTGTAATTTTTTCTGTATAAATTAATAATTTCTATATACTTTGGAAACTCAAATGAGGTATTTTAATACACTTTCCTCGAGCTCTTTTCTGCAGTTTTCCTGAAATTTTATGTGGGTCCGAGGTGTTATTTGAGTTTAACAGTGATTCTCTACGTTGCCATTAATTTGATTTGTTTGTGTGTGTGTGTGTGGGTGGGGGGTGGGGGGGGGGGGGGGGGGGGTGTGAGTGGTGGGGGTTATTTTTATTCTTAACCTATTTAACGTTGGAGTTGAATCTTGTATCTTATTCCAAGAACTTAAGATTGATTGTGACATTTGGATGAAAGGTCAAGGTCATTAAAAACCACCACCTCTTTAACTTCTAACCTGTCAACCGAAATAAACTCTGAAAAGTGTTTCTAGATACATGTACATGTACTTCATCTTTCTTTTTACCCTTGGGTCAAGGACAAAGGTTAAGGTCGATTTCAAGTTCATAGGTCAAGGTGATTTTGGTAAATAGTTAATATCAACATTTTATTCAGGTTACCAGTGACCTTGACCTAAGTTTCAAGGTCAAGGGTAAAAAGATCTGCATGCTTCAGTATGTTACATGTCTTGACATTTAGAAGTTCTTAATTCTGCATGAACATCAAACACTCAAGTATACTGTCTTTTAATACATTGTGTGCGGTCGCATGTGCATGCACGTCCATGTATTTACTTTTGATAGTAGTATAATGTAGGCAATCATTATATCTATTCATATTTGAAATTTCACCCTGTATTATTGAGAACCAAGAAAGTTGTAGGCATTTAAAGTTTTAGCCAATCAGATTGCAGCACACGTGCATGTGCGTGCGTTGATGATTATTCTTATATATCATGCTGTAGATCTTCATAATGTAAGACTATGTTCAAAATTTCAAAGGATTTTGTCAGAAAATAAAATAGATATTTAGACTTTAAGTTTCAGCCAATCGCAGCGAAGGGCACCTGCATGCGCGTGAGATCTTGCTATTTTGACCATGTCATCATGTCTATACTACTATTATATCCTTATATTATGAGTTTCAAAGCATTTCATCCAATATTTGAAAAGTTACGGCTAAATCTATTATATTGGTCATTTCACGTGTTACACGTGCGCGCACCTGCACGCACGTGCGCGCAAAATGACCTTCGTTCCGCACATCTACATAACATACCTAGTGACCCTAAAAAGGTTTCACCTAGATCGGATGAGTAGTTTACGAGAACACTCGCGGACAAAAAAGTACCGGAGAACAAAGAAAAAATTCAGAAAAAGTAAAAACAATATGTTCCCAAACTTCGTTTGGGGAACATAATAAGGAGACTAATTGTTCAGATTACAATTTTGATTTTCATTCAGATAACAATATGAAGTCTTTTCACCTTCTTGAGTGTTTTCATATCATTTGGCTTCAAGAAAAGAAGTTAAAAGCAAAAAAATTAATAAAACAGCAAAATTCTAATTTTCTACTACCGTGTTTTTAAGATCGGGCTCGGGGTTGGTTATATTCAATAGTAGTTCCATACATGGAAAAGGGATTTTCCTTTCTGTTCAGAATTTTTTTAATATTTCCTCTCAGGCCATTTTGACAACTCTGATACCTGTGCCTGGTAAATTTTATATACTTTGTAAATAAATATATAAAGGTTTTTTGACCGGAACTATTCATTTTTTCCAATGCATAGGGGGCTACTCTCTGGGTTTTACAAGAGATGTTTAAAAAGACATTCGTGTCAGCTAATGTGACCTATATTGTTTAACTCCTTCTTATTAATATTTTTTTTCATGAATGCAATTATCTGATTATTTTACGAAGGAGCGTACATGTATATTGATTTTTAATATACCGAAAATCGCTATTTCTGGGGATTGCGTAATTCTAAAAAAAAAAAATCAAATAAATTTCAAAGGTAAATTAAACAAAGGATGCTTGGTATTAAAATATTATTTCAAATCAGTAGAATCGAATGCTATTAACGACATCTGAATAAATAGGCTATAAAAGGCTTATATGCCAACTTTGGTCATCTGCACTTTGATTTTAAACACGACAGGATTTGTAATTTTTTCTGTATAAATTAATAATTTCTATATACTTTGGAAACTCAAATGAGGTATTTTAATACACTTTCCTCGAGCTCTTTTCTGCAGTTTTCCTGAAATTTTATGTGGGTCCGAGGTGTTATTTGAGTTTAACAGTGATTCTCTACGTTGCCATTAATTTGATTTGTTTGTGTGTGTGTGTGTGTGTGTGGGTGGGGGGGGGTGGGGGGGTGGGGGGGGTATTTTTATTCTTAACCTATTTAACGTTGGAGTTGAATCTTGTATCTTATTCCAAGAACTTAAGATTGATTGTGACATTTGGATGAAAGGTCAAGGTCATTAAAAACCACCACCTCTTTAACTTCTAACCTGTCAACCGAAATAAACTCTGAAAAGTGTTTCTAGATACATGTACATGTACTTCATCTTTCTTTTTACCCTTGGGTCAAGGACAAAGGTTAAGGTCGATTTCAAGTTCATAGGTCAAGGTGATTTTGGTAAATAGTTAATATCAACATTTTATTCAGGTTACCAGTGACCTTGACCTAAGTTTCAAGGTCAAGGGTAAAAAGATCTGCATGCTTCAGTATGTTACATGTCTTGACATTTAGAAGTTCTTAATTCTGCATGAACATCAAACACTCAAGTATACTGTCTTTTAATACATTGTGTGCGGTCGCATGTGCATGCACGTCCATGTATTTACTTTTGATAGTAGTATAATGTAGGCAATCATTATATCTATTCATATTTGAAATTTCACCCTGTATTATTGAGAACCAAGAAAGTTGTAGGCATTTAAAGTTTTAGCCAATCAGATTGCAGCACACGTGCATGTGCGTGCGTTGATGATTATTCTTATATATCATGCTGTAGATCTTCATAATGTAAGACTATGTTCAAAATTTCAAAGGATTTTGTCAGAAAATAAAATAGATATTTAGACTTTAAGTTTCAGCCAATCGCAGCGAAGGGCACCTGCATGCGCGTGAGATCTTGCTATTTTGACCATGTCATCATGTCTATACTACTATTATATCCTTATATTATGAGTTTCAAAGCATTTCATCCAATATTTGAAAAGTTACGGCTAAATCTATTATATTGGTCATTTCACGTGTTACACGTGCGCGCACCTGCACGCACGTGCGCGCAAAATGACCTTCGTTCCGCACATCTACATAACATACCTAGTGACCCTAAAAAGGTTTCACCTAGATCGGATGAGTAGTTTACGAGAACACTCGCGGACAAAAAAGTACCGGAGAACAAAGAAAAAATTCAGAAAAAGTAAAAACAATATGTTCCCAAACTTCGTTTGGGGAACATAACTAAGCATTATTTCTACATGCACATGTCAGATGCAGCTCTATACCCTGGACCTTATAGTTATAAACTGTTTCTATAATCAACGATTTCTGAAGAAAAAAACGCTCCTGTATGATGCCTCATTAAATAAAGTGTATTTCTATTTACAATAGAACATTATCTGTACAATGAAGTGGCCTTGATAATATTTTGTAGTGTTGTAGGACCTATTAATGCTTGATACAATTAACAGTTCGAAATTCCTCTGATACCGCTTTTCTGGCCTCGAGTTCTGTTCTAGGTAAATGCAAATCCACAAATATCATACACTTTTTACAATCTTTTTTTTTAATACACCATTTTAAAAAACATAAGAAATGCATCATCTAGTCGTTTTTGACAATAAAACGGTTGAAACTGAAATGAAGGGGGGGGGGGCGATATTGTGAATTGTAGAGGTTTCAAGAACAGTAATGCACCTTGAACTTATATGATTGCAGAGTTGGTATAAATATTTATAATTTCTTACCTTTGTTGACGAAGCAATTCCCTCGTAAAACACTAAAATTACTCAAATATTGGAGAAATTTCCTTCGAGATAAATATAAACAAAAAAGATGGCCGACTCTGGGGATACACTCCGAGAAAAATTCCGCGAAATACGAAAACTGTCAAAACAATGACACGTGTTTTTGTTATTTCAAATGTGGCTACATATGAGGTTTTTGTTGTGTTACACATCATAAAAGGATTCTGAACGTTAAAAAAGAGAGACAAATCATTGGCGTCGGAAGCAAATTGAAAGTGGGGGGGGGCTAAGTGTAATAAAAAAAAAATTACCTTCTCAAAAAACCTGACAAGCAAAAAAAAAAAAAAAGGAAATTTCCCAAACACGAAAATCCTATTTCGTGGGGGGGGGGGGGGGTGTGGGTTCAAACTTCACTACCAAAGATATTTTTTCCAAACTCCACCTTTTCCCCCATTTTTTTACCTATACTGCGACATGTCTGTGGAAAGTGGGGGGGGGGGGCTAAACCTACGAATGAATGTTCAATGTCTCTACTAAGTGTATATTTGGAAAAAAGTGTGGGGGGGGGGGGCTAAGTCTACACTAGGTATATATTTGAGAAAAAAGTGGAGGGGCTAAGCCCCCCCTAGCCCCCCCCCCCCCCCCCCCGGTTCCGACGCCTATGCAAATGAAACACATGTGAAAAAATGTTAAGATAAGGAACAGCAAAAATGAATCACAGGAAATTAAATTATCAAATCTATAATTTAAATTAGTAATGTGACATTTACTTTACTATATTATTACGGGACATACTAGCTCCGCCTTTTTACACCCCGGAATCGAATATTCGGGGTATATGGCGTTTGCCCTGTCCGTGCGTCAGTCAGTCACCCGGCCATATGGCAGTGCAGTCTAGCTGCATCTCTGTTTGTAAAATTTGTCTCAGTCTTTGTCCGCAAAAACTTAACCTTGCCCACAACTTTTGAGTTGGTGTGGCTATGACATACTATTCCACAGGTGTAATCCTTGTAATAAGACATTTATTAAGATACCACCAATTTTGACCTCTTGATCTTGGAGTAACGTACGTTTGACGGGTATAACTTTTGAACACTAAATTGGTGCTAAGGCTTTCATACTTCACATGTTTATTCATTGTTTGACCCTGACCTTAGAGTTTGACTCACTTAAAAAAACTTTAACCTTGGCCATAACATTTGAACAGTTAGCACTCACGGCTTTAGTAATTTTTGAACATGCACTTGGTGCTATAAGGCTTTCATATGTAACGTGCAAGGGAGGTCACTGCCTGTGAACCCCCGCAGGCTCGTACCCGTGATAAAAACGGATAGCCTTGAGATGCTGCAAATATGTACAATGCGCAGTCTTAATCACTTGGTACTGCGTATATAAGGTCTTTACTGGTAGCGAACAAGTGACACTGGCAGGGAAGTCCACACACCAGTGCACTTCCACAAGAGACAAGCAGGGATGACCGCACACTTGCCCTTGTGCAGTGACAAGCAGGGATGACCACACACTTGACACTAATACGGTTCTAGTCTAGAGACACTGGCAGGGGTGTCCGCACACCAATGCTCTACCACAAGATGCAGGCAGGGATGTCCACACACCTGATCTTGCGCAGCAACAAGCAGGGATGTCCGCACACTTGCTACTTTAAGATGCCTATCACAGAGCAGGGATGACCACACACTCTGTCAAGTAATAAGCAGGGATGACCACACACTTACTACTTAAAACAGTACAATATAAGCAGGGAAGTCCGCACACTTTTATGTACACACACAGGTTCGTCAAGTTTTACCTCTAGAACCGACCTCGCAATCCTCGCCAGTGAAAATCCTATATATCCTAACACCATCTATAATACTTAGTGATTATTTATTTACAAACTAATTAAAACGCCAATCAAGCTTCCAATCAACCAATCTTTAGTAATCCAACTAGTGTAACATACAATGATCATAATTGATAACTTTAATTCAAATTCAACACTAATTAAGTATTTATTTTAGCATATATATAATAAGTAATTAAAACAACAAGGGCGATAACTTTCGCTATAATAAACATATAGGAAACAGCTTTCCGTTTCATCACCCCCACCCCAGCTTTATGCGTCCTCGCATAAGAAAAACATTTAACGGCATTTTAAAAAAAAAAACTACCAAATGTATTTACAAAAAACAAATATCTACACTGTATTCCCCATTCTGCAAAATAAAATATGTATGAATATTCTACTCAACAGAATAGTAATTACAGTATCACATTTACCATTGCGCAAAACAAAATGTTATGTTTTGTTTAACCCAATGGTAAACAGAACCAATCAGGTTCACTTGCTGGCCCAGGTGCCTTTCATTTCTTTGAATTCCCTCTGCAAAGTCTCAAACTTTGCGCTTAATTCCTCAAGTATCGAGGCAGTTCTTCCTTACGCGGATTCAACGGTAGTTGGGCGCGCATAGTTCTTTTTCTCAGCTCTGTTGTAAGCTTCTAATTCGACAGCCAATTGTATAGCTTCATTAAGATGTTTAGGACGCGCCTGCTTTATGCGGATGCGCATTTCCGAGTCGACCAATGTGTCCACAAATTGGTCTTTAGACAGTGTTTCCCGAATCTCAGCTGTCGCAGTGGGGTAGGCTAAGTTGGCAAGTCTGCGAATAGCCTGTCCTAACTCTGGAAGAGATTCTTCAGCTCTTTGGCGCCGCTCACGCATCTGCACCCTGTATAGCTCCGTTTGACTCGGGGGTGCAAATCGGTCTTCAAGGGCTTTTACAAGTGTCTGATAATCGGGCTTTGCCCCTTTTGGCATGTTACCCAACACTCCTTGCGCACTTACCCGAAGAGAAACTGCTAGATACAACCCCTTCTGATGATATTTCCATCCACTTATTTCTGCACATGCCTCAAAATGCGCATGATAATCCAACCAAGGACCACTGCCATCATACGTTGCTGGCTTTATCATTTGCCTTGGGGATGGAGACTCTGTTAGGGCATCGTCTCCCCTTTGAGGACTCCTAAATCTTACTCTGGATCTCCTTGTTATCCCAGGGAGAAGAGGATCATATGGATCGTCTCTATAAAGTTCTTCAGGGCGAAGTCTACGCCAATGTCTGTCGTTTTGCGCCGCTTCTCTATCGAATCTTGTAGGAGACTCTGGTTGACCGTAATCGCGAGGTCTTGCTCCGGCTTCTGTAAACATGTCCCTGAGAGATTGTCCTGTAGACTTTTCTTCAGGGATAGGTGCGTGCTGGGCTAGCGCACCATCATGCTCATGCGTTAATGACTTCTCATCTGTCTGCCGCAATTCTCCGGAGATGCGAGATTCGCCAACACCCGAGTCCCTTACTTTGTCTTTCATACGCGGGGTCACTGGAGTCGACGACTTGAAACTTCTATTCTTGATACTTTCCTCCCTCAGCTCCGCGAGCTTTTCTTCTATCAGAGATAATTCTTTGTCTACGTCTTCCATTGTGCAGCTATCTCAAGGTATCCCACCACTGCCACCAAATTTTATGTAACGTGCAAGGGAGGTCACTGCCTGTGAACCCCCGCAGGCTCGTACCCGTGATAAAAACGGATAGCCTTGAGATGCTGCAAATATGTACAATGCGCAGTCTTAATCACTTGGTACTGCGTATATAAGGTCTTTACTGGTAGCGAACAAGTGACACTGGCAGGGAAGTCCACACACCAGTGCACTTCCACAAGAGACAAGCAGGGATGACCGCACACTTGCCCTTGTGCAGTGACAAGCAGGGATGACCACACACTTGACACTAATACGGTTCTAGTCTAGAGACACTGGCAGGGGTGTCCGCACACCAATGCTCTACCACAAGATGCAGGCAGGGATGTCCACACACCTGATCTTGCGCAGCAACAAGCAGGGATGTCCGCACACTTGCTACTTTAAGATGCCTATCACAGAGCAGGGATGACCACACACTCTGTCAAGTAATAAGCAGGGATGACCACACACTTACTACTTAAAACAGTACAATATAAGCAGGGAAGTCCGCACACTTATATGTACACACACAGGTTTGTCAAGTTTTACCTCTCGAACCGACCTCGCAATCCTCGCCAGTGAAAATCCTATATATCCTAACACCATCTATAATACTTAGTGATTATTTATTTACAAACTAATTAAAACGCCAATCAAGCTTCCAATCAACCAATCTTTAGTAATCCAACTGGTGTAACATACAATGATCATAATTGATAACTTTAATTCAAATTCAACACTAATTAAGTATTTATTTTAGCATATATATAATAAGTAATTAAAACAACAAGGGCGATAACTTTCGCTATAATAAACATATAGGAAACAGCTTTCCGTTTCACATACTTTACATCTGTATATTATAACAAGACCTTTCAATGGGTAAAAATATTTTTGACCATGACCTCAGAGTTTGACTTACTTTAAAAAAAACTAACCATGTCCATAACTTTTGAACAGATATAGCACTTCGGCTTTTGTATTTCACAGGTGTATTCTAAGTGATAAGACCTTCCTTTGGATACCAACAATTTTAACCCTGACCTTAGGGGACTTGCATAGCTATGTAAAGAAACTCCAACCCTTGCCAATAGCTACCATACAGGGACACCAGAGTTTCACAAACACATCTTGTTTTTAAAAGCATGAATAGATAAATGTACTTTTTATGAAATATAATACATGCATATTCTTCCATAGAGCATACACTTATCGATCATCAGATGCACGTGCACATTCATGTTAATAATTTTGTTTTATGGACTGAATTCGAAGTCCAAATGAATATTAGTAAACTATATATATTGTATATTCTTCAGTTTGTCCTGTTGGCCCTCGAACTAGAATATTCAACACTAAATCCACACTCTCCGTTTTACTAAAAAATATGATTTTCATCAAAACTTAAAAAAAAAGATAAATAAAATAAAAACAAAAAAATTAAAAAAGAAATAAAGAAATAAACAATTTAAATATACTCGTTTTTGCTCGCAGCTGCATTGGTAGATCCGTAATAGGTTTCGTATTGAATTCCACGTCTGTATATCCTCACTTCCCATATTCGTTAGTAATGAGATGGCTATCATGGGTATCGCCCAAAATATCGTATCGCGATATATCATGTTATTATACTTCTGTTAAAATGTTTCCTATATAAAGTTCAGAGGGTAAAATAACTATCCTTTATAGTCTACGCATAGCAAAACTATACCCCGGGGTATAGTTTTTGCTATCCACCCTCGGAAAATTTTCATGCAATTGTTGCCGCCAATTTTGATTTTTAAACTGATGATGTCATAATGACTTCAGTAGCATTGTGACGTCATCAGAATTTCAGATTATCTTACTCCAAAGAAATTCAAACCTCAGAAATTGAATTATACATCAGTATAATAAAACGCTTATCCACTGGTTGTGAGTGGGATAGCTCTTTTATCAAACCCTTGACAGGAACTATTCCCCTCGGGCAAGCCCTCGGGGAATAGACTTTCTCTGTCGCGGGTTTGATAAAAGAGCTATCCCACTCACAACCAGTGGATAAGTGTATAATATAACCCCCCCCCCCCCAACATCACGATATTATGATATTTTTAGCATCGATTTTTACAATAGTTTAAAATGAAGCCTTTTCTACTTAAAAAAAATGATAATCAGATATTTTTCACGACCAGAAGTTTGATAAGGCAGTAGCTCTGCATGTATTAACTTCCTGTAAGTGAGAAGATTGCTGTTGGACTTCACACACCTGGTATGTTTTTTTAAAGGAATATTCATATGTTTAATTTTAGTCTCAGCATAAAGATGCGTATCACGCAATTAAAAATCACGATATATCGGTATACCGATAAAATCGCACCTCAAGTGCACTTAATCTTAATTCTAAAATCAATGTCCTATGTTTAAATAATTCTAATGCCTGTAGATGCAAGTCTATAAGTTTTATGACCCCGGAACTTTAGTCGGTCGTCATGTAAAGTGCATCCTGAACTATAAGCAATAGTTTATCAGTATTTCTTCATTAACTAAGTTAAACAAATTAAGTTTTCTTAACATTACAATACAAAAATATGCTCATGCAGAGCACTGATTAAGATCAGACTTCTTAGATCCATGCCGTGTACACTCTGCGTAATATTTTTATTTTATTTTTTCAGAACAATTTATTTAAAACAAAATATCCATTATCTCTACTACTGAGTATATTTTGACTTTCAAAAGAGAGAGAGAGAGAGAGAGAGAGAGAGAGAGAGAGAGAGAGAGAGAGAGAGAGAGGGGGAGAGTTAAGGTGGAGGGGGCTTGAATTTAACACTTTGAGGTTGCTTCTAGATCAATATTAGTAATTGCATGCTTAACAATTCTTGGGCAGGTTTTCAAGGATTTAATATTTTATTAAAGTTTTTTTTTCTTATATTCCTTTGTGACTGACATTCCTACACCAAGGTGTGAATTTTCAAACAAATTTGAATCTATACTATCCGAGGATGCTTCCGTATCAAAATGACTACTCATAGCTTCGATGTTCTTAGAAGGTTTTTACATTTTCCCCCTATATATTTCAATGTAAAACTTTGATTCCCAAATATGAATCTACACATCTTGGATGAGTGATGTGGATGATCCCACATTAATATAACTAATATGGAATTGCTTTTTTATCTTCAGAAGATTTTTTCCCCAATCCATGCCTACCTCAAACTCCCCCATTGTGGCCCCACCCTAATGAAGGGGGTTGCAGTGGTGGTGGTAGGGAGTCATCATTTGAACAAACTTGAGCCTACACTATGTAAAGGTGTCCTATAAGATTCAACTTTTTGACCCAATGGTTCTTGAAAAGAAGAATGTTAAAATTTTAAAGATAAACAAATAAGCCCTACTTACCAAAATGAATGAGTGTGAGTGAGAAAGTGAGAGCAAATGGCGCATGTAAAAAAGAAATACTTTATATTGTACTAATATGTTTGTAAAAAGATAAAAAAATAAATTTAAAAAAATATAAAGATCCCATAAAATTTTAACCATTTTTAAATTATCTCCTTTTAACTTGAAAGAGGGTTTTGCCCTTCAATTTATTTGAACAACTCTGAATCCTCTTAACCCAAGGATTGTGACATGTTTGGTTGAAATTAGCCCAGTGGTTTTGAGAAGTTGAAAATGTGAAAAGTTTACAGACAGACTACAGACAAAATTTTATCAGAACACTCACTTGAGATTGCAGGTGAAATTCAATAATGGATGGATGTCCACAGAGATACAATGTGTGCACCCAATAAAAAAAGAGTATTTTTATTGAAAACAAAAAAGTGCACAGTTTTCTCTGCTTATTTCTGGTGCTATCTTACAATTTTACCAATTGTATGTTCCTACAATATTCTTTTACTACCATAACAGAACATTTCCAAAAACTGTTGTTTCTAGCCCTCCTGGGCATGAAATTGAGACTATTGAAAATTTCGCCTATTTAAATCTAGTGGGCTCTGTGCTACAGTTTAGCTTTGGAAGTAGTAAAAAAATATTGTTAGAAATACATGGTTAGATATATATTGAAATATGTATACCATGAAAATAAAGAGAGAAACAACACTCTTTGCTTGTCAATCCCAATTTTTCAGACTTCAAGCTAGTCATCAAGGATATATGCTGATGCCTAAGGTTGTATAAGTAAAAAAAAGTTCCAAAACTTTATATGTACTAGTATTTCACTTAATATCTTAATAAAGTAGATGGAAATAATTTACAAAAAACATCTCAGTGTCAAAAAAAAAAGATCAAATTTATTGCACGATCATTACATCCAGTATATGTATACATATATCATTAATTTTAATAACACTTCTAAAAATGCTTACATATCAAACTATTGTTTCAATGAGACATAAATATTTTCTTGTTTTTTTTCTTATTTTGGTGTACATTTGTGTACATAATGTTTATGAGTTTCGGGTACTTCTGAATCCACTGTTATTTGATCATGGACTGTTTACTGAGGAATATGCTGTGATGGCCTCTTTGTTCAATCAGAAGTAACATAGCTCATCCTCGGCAGTCTTCCCTCGCTGTACGTCGGACAGCTCCTTAGGTTGGTTGGTGTGAGGAAGAGGAGCAAAGATCCTCAGATGTATGTGTTCATCACCAATGTTTACCTACAGGAAGGCCCACACATTTTAGCAAATTAATAGATGATACTTTAAGCAGTTATTAAATACAAAATGAAATGATTAATTAAAAGGCATAGACTCTCTCTGCCTCCTGTTTACAAATATGCACATGATTTTGATCATCTTTTTACTTTGGACAACAATCATTAAAGGTCTGTCATTGTTACTTTTACGAAGTAGTTGGTTCCGGCCACCACTTGGGTTTTGTATGACACTGGTTCGTAGGTATCCAGCTTCTTTCCCACCTTGTCCTCCACTGTACCTTTTACCTACAATAAATCAAAGTAAGTGTTTATACATCACAAAGATATCATAAATACAGATTTAAAATATGTGCAAGTTCAACCTCCTCCTTATTTTGTTCCTGTGATATATCATCACCTTGATTGTTTATCATAAAGGATAATTAATCAGTAACAAATGTATTATCATGGAGTTGTGTGTATAGATTATTTATTTTGAATGCTGTCCAGATAAAAACTAGATTTTCATGTGCATTTTACCAATATGCAGTGCATAACCTATTCACCATATATTTCAGCATCCTAGGATGATATTTCAGTTAAGTGGAAATTAATGAGTGGTTCAGGTACAAACTAATTTAACATTAGATTACTTATCAAAGGTCGCTTCTAGAAGAAGAAAACATCCTCCTTTAACAGGTTGGGACCACTCGCCCAAATGGGATATAATAGGCCGTTTGGGATAGAATATCCCAAATGGGCTATAAATTTACAGTGCAAAAAATGAAAATTTTTATTTTGGATTTAAATATCATAAATCCGCATCAGGACACTTGTAAAGAATAACTTTTGGTTGACAAGTTTTTCTGTAGGGCCATTGTTTAGGAGATTGATCCCTCGGAAGTTCCTCAACTTATTGGGGATCAATCTTACAAACTATAGGATTGCATAAAAACTTGCTTACCAAAAGTTATTCAGATTTAGGTGCCCTGATGCGGATTTATGATATTTAAATCCAAAATAAAAATTTTCATTTTTTGCACTGTAAATTTATAGCCCATTTGGGATATTCTATCCCAAACGGCCTATTATATCCCATTTGGGCGAGTGGTCCCAACCTGTTTAACTTATGAGTCAGAGTCTCATGATGATGACGGAGCACCGACAGGCCTTCTTTTTAGTATTAATCAAGAACTTCGAAAACCAGTAGATACTTTATGCACTGTAAATCTACATGACTTATTGAAAATAAATTTTGCTGACCAAATTGTCTAAATTATAAAAAAAGTAATTTCACACAAGTAAACAGCCAACAGCTGCTAAACCCCTTGGGCATAGGCGCTTGGGTCAAGGATACTGTATTTTTTCTATATAATGTATTGTCGAGGAAATTCGAACTATACTCGTAACATTTTTTTTCAGTGTGCAGTGTTAATTTTTAGTTTTTTGTAAACCTTTCTGCTTCATATACACTAGAATGTCGCGGAAATTCGATTTTATGCACGCTTTAAAAATGACATATCCCACTGTATACTAAAAAGAAACAAGGCTTGCAACTTCATTTGCCCCTTTCCGTGCCCCAGACTCGATTTTTTCCTGTTAAAAGTTATATGCGCCGCTTACCAGCTGAATTACGAGTCCCCATCTCTGCAAATAATTCTTATACAATGATAAAAATCCTCAGGTATAAACTTTTCATCCATCTTATATTTTTAAATAATTATTTTCGGCATTTTTCGCTCGTTTAATTTTTGTAATCACGGAAGTCCCCGGAATTACAACGTCCAAAACCCAAAATGGGCGGACAGAAAATTATTTGACAGCTCTGAAAATCGCAGGGATCAGAGTATTTGCCCATTTAAACTGTCTAAAACTTCTTACCAAATCACTGACAATATAATATTATTAACCTGTATCATTTACCAAAGAAATTAAACTTTAATATATAGACGGAAGGGGGGGGGGGGTTTATACCTTATCTCACACACTTGTATTTTAGGCGAAACATTATTAGATAAATTTAAGAATATATTAAACATTTCGGCTAGTTTATTTGTACAACAACTGCATGTTTTTCTTTACTATATCTACAGGTGATTGCTCTGAAAGACACGAAAGGTGTGTACATGTATATGCCTGCAGCCAGAATATATTTACCAGTTGAAACTTATCTGATTGCAAAAAAAATATTTTTTACCAAAAAAAAAATACAAAATATGCAGCTCAAAACACATATCAGTAACGCCAGAATTCGTTGCTTAATCAAAAATCCTTTACGCATTGAAAGGGGGGGGGGGAGGGGGGATATTCAAGTTGGCATCTACATGTACATTGTCCCCTACCTCAGTATATTTCTTTCATCGTAACGAAAGTTATCCCCATCACCTTCTACCCTTCACACGTTTTACACTTTGGTGCCAAATGGTTATTTTATTTTTTCGGGAGAGAGAGAGAGAGAGAGTTTATGCCCATTGAATATTTATAGAACTTCCCACACCTTTCTCATGAAATACAGTTTTAAGTTTAAACAGCTTCTCTTTCTTTCTTTTCTTTCTTTTTTTTTTTTTTTTTAATTTCTTCATTTAATTTTTTTTTTTGGCTCGTTTAAGTTTTCACGCAATGATTGTTTTCGATTAGTGGACGAGACCCCCCCCCCCTTCCGTCTATCTATTAAAGTTTAATTTCCTTTGGTAAATGATACAGGTTAATAATATTATATTGTCAGTGATTTGGTAAGAAGTTTTAGACAGTTTAAATGGGCAAATACTCTGATCCCTGCGATTTTCAGAGCTGTCAAATAATTTTCTGTCCGCCCGTTTTGGGTTTTGGACGTTGTAATTCCGGGGACTTCCGTGATTACAAAAATTAAACGAGCGAAAAATGCCGAAAATAATTATTTAAAAATATAAGATGGATGAAAAGTTTATACCTGAGGATTTTAATCATTGTATAAGAATTATTTGCAGAGATGGGGACTCGTAATTCAGCTGGTAAGCGGCACATATAACTTTTAACAGGAAAAAATCGAGTCTGGGGCACGGAAAGGGGCAAATGAAGTTGCAAGCCTTGTTTCTTTTTAGTATACAGTGGGATATGTCATTTTTAAAGCGTGCATAAAATCGAATTTCCGCGACATTCTAGTGTATATGAAGCAGAAAGGTTTACAAAAAACTAAAAATTAACACTGCACACTGAAAAAAAAATGTTACGAGTATAGTTCGAATTTCCTCGACAATACATTATATAGAAAAAATACAGTATCCTTGACCCAAGCGCCTATGCCCTTGGGCCAATGACCTATCATGAAAACCAATATAAGACTCAAGGAAATAAATTATTGACAGTGGATTGCACAAGAAATCATATTAAATATGTTAGTTTGTTACCTCATTGATGATCGACTGGATTTCAGCATCTGCTGGCTTAGAATCTGAAGTTCCTCCACACTTCATCATTGCGCTTGTTTACCTTTCAAGATTTCCCTCGAAATGAAAAAGCTCGTGACGCCTCGCGTCACTAATGCAAGAGAGATAACTCGTGTGCGAAAATTATTCCGGACTGAAAAATCTGGGTTTTTTTTTTAATTTTTCACTGTATGGTTATGATTTGGGGGGGGGGGGGGTTAAAATTTTCACATAAAATACACAAAAACATATGTTAAGAAATTCATTATCTAAATCTATTTTATCATTTTTTAAACGTATAATTTTTACCGGATAAAACATATCTACTTGTTCAATTTTATGTTTTACTTTCTTTTTGTTTTCGTATACCTTATTTTACGAGATTTTTAAAATATTATATTCTTCAACTTTCTAAATCAATTTTTCCATTAAGGCTTTTATCATTTTTATCCATAGTTATCTACCTTTCAAAAAAAGAAGGAAAACATTCCCATCATTTAAGACTAACTCTACTTGTGACGTCCCGCGGGATATCCAATGAGCTCTTACCTTCCCTGGCAACGTTTGTCTATGGACACCTCTTGCAGTGAAATGCATTAATGGCGAGTAAATAACATGCATAATGTTGCACTTTGAAGTTTGTTTGTGATATATAGATACAGAGAATAATGTCGGATCCAATGCAAGGGATATTGGCCGAGGCCAAGTCGAACAAATATTCCTTAATTAAGGATAAACTTTCAGAAGACGGTAAGATATAAAGACGTGTGTTTGAACTTTTTATAGGGCAAATATGACAGTCACACAGGAAGATATATTTATCATGTATTCGAATAAAGCATGCCATAGGAACATTCTTTACAGTACATTATGTATACATACGATATAGGATGACTCTTGTTATTTGCTCAGCAAGACAACATAACATAACTGAAATCAGAATAATAAAACTGAATTCTTAAACTCTTATTTGCATGTATGATAGTTTTTTATTATGACGATAGTTCTAATCGGTTGAATCATAAGAAGCTACTAACATGATACAGGTGTAGCAAAAAGGAAAAATTAAAAGACTGATAAATTAAAATCAAAAACAGTGCCACACTTGTTGAATGTGCTTAAATTTGTCTGGTAGCTTCTTGTTATTGGATGTATGCTGAATCATATCATGTAACTGCATTACTATTGTACATCAGTAAATGCTTTTTGTAAGCTTTCTCAATGAATAAATGTATTAATTAAACTATATATATGATACTTATGACATCAAACAAGCTTTTTACATTACAATGTACCTTGATGTCATATACCTTATGCCATATAAGGAAAGGTTAAAATCTTTGCATACATCCAAAACTGACATTTTAAATGATTGTTGATAAAGTTGCCTTTATTTCTTTCTTCTTGCTTCTGTTGAAGTCATCAAATATACATGGACAATAAGCATGATTGGCTATCAAACCTTATAATCACTTCTATGTATAACAGCAGCATTCATTGTAATATATTTGCACATAAAGCATGTAGCAAAATGATTTATCTATTTGAAATCATAAAAGAATCTTGGCATTACATGAACATATAACTATAGCTTGAACTAAGTGCACAAAGTTTCTCAAGGATATGACTTTTGAAATTGATTTAATTTAAATACTGCAGTATTTAATCATTTTTAAACCAAGGCATACTACTGACATATAAATTGATGTTACAGGAATTACATCATGCTGAAATTGAAAATTAAATTTTGCTCTGTAGATTGATATGGGAAGTAACTTGAAGTGCCTGTCCTGACTTTATCAGATATCAAATGAATCAATCCTTTAAAATTTATTTGTTTTTAGGAATTTAGCATATATTAGTTGGTTTTAAAAAGTTTTTACTTACAAAATTTTATCTTCATTTTAGGACTCATTTTAATCTTTTAAAATCAATTTGTTTTTTCTTAGCTATTTCCCTTGCTTTTATTCAAGAGTTTCAATATTTTTTTGTAGATGTTGCCAGTGTATGGGAAAATCTCTCCAATTTTATTGAAAAACACATGTCCCAGCAGAAGGTAAATATAGAAAATTACATGTACTGGTATTTTTTGAGGGTGTATCTCAGAAATATGTTTTGTATAAAGTTTTATGAAATACCTTATTGATCTAGGATGTAATAAAATAACCACTTATCTAGAAATCTAAGCATCCTCCTTGCATTATGGATGATTAAATGGGGATGCCAGTTTGTATGCACAGTACTTTCTTTACAATATAAATATGCCATATCAACCTAAATAAAGCATTTATTGTTTTATGATATATGATTATGTTATTCTATGTATTAATTAATTTTTTACAGGGTGTCAGTATCCCTATGTTGGGAACATTTACCTTCACACAGAAAAAGCTGGATATAGGAAACAACAAATTTATTATGATGCAGAGACCAATTTTTATGTTGTCTGAAAAATTTGCCCAGACCCATGGTCTCCAGTCAGTGAAATATCATGTCCCAGGTATGACTTAAGCAAGAATCAGATGTGATTTGAATGTGGAGTGGGTATTTTGATGGGTCGTGAATTTGCTCTTGGGCACCCTTGAACTGAAATCTTTTGATTTTTTGCTATTTTAGAAAATTGAACCTTAGGGATAATTAAGTGGACAGTCTTTAACAAAAATGAAATGAAATATCAGGAAAAAAATGCTAAGCATACACTTTTCATAAAATAAATGATGTTGAATAATTATTTTTCTGTGAATAAAAAACAATTTCAAAAGACTTTTAAAGTTAATATAGTTATCAACTTTATACATAAGTTTGACACTCAATTTTAAAATCTCTCTGACATAACCTAAAAAGGTGTATTACCTATCTGAGGAAATATTGACCCAAATGCTCAATTTGACCCACACACAATAGACTTCTACTTATCTGGTACAAAGAGAGTGAATTCTGAAAGCGTCGTTAGGATTTAAATGGCATTGACTAGCCGCGTCTGACTGGTATCTACCAATGTAAACTGTCCTTATAATAATTACTTTATAAAAGTAAATAATGTAAATAATGATTAAAGTTAAATCTCCCCAATACACAACCAGAGAACAAGTCAGGAGCTCAATTTAACATATAGTGTTTGTACATAAAAACTTTTTTTCTGATTTTCAAAAAAAATTGGTTCAATATTTTTGAATTCATATCAAGTCTGTAGGTTCTTAGCATATTTCTTAATAGACTATTGTTTACGCAATACAGTTTTTTGTTTTTGTTTTTTTTGTTTTTGCAAGTGTAAAGCAATCTAACTTATGAAAACTCTACTTGAGTTCTCATTTTAGTAGAAAGTAAAATGATTTGTATACAAGTATAAACTGCAAACATGTACCTGGTATTAAAAATGCACAGAAGGAGATTAACTTGCAGATTTGTAATTGAATTTAGGTGCAGTACAATGAACTTAAGCTCTTTAGATTTCAGTTAAAATAAGTGTTGATGATCAATCTGATTGCATACTTGGTCTGCTTTCTTAAATCTTTAAATCCTTTAAATGCTTTTTCACAGGGGCTTACAGGGTTGATGTCTTCACCCTGTAGACTAAGTCAATAATAATTTGATAGAGTGAAGAAAGATATCAAGGAAATATATTTCAAAAACATCATAGTCATTTACTAGGCATAAAGTTGTGAAATCAAAGCATATTCCCTGTGTTTATAAATATAAAGCTTCAAACTAAATAGCTTATAGTTTAAAAATTTAGTTGACATTTCTGATGATAACTTATTGACAATATTTATTATTAAGCAGTAATGATTGTATGAACATTTAACTTATTTTTGGTCAGTTTACACCCTCTGTCTGTCTGTTTGACTCTTAATATCCTACATGCCCACCCCCAATCATTTTGGATGTTAAATGTCATTAGATAATGGGTTATGTAGAAAATAATCAATATTTTAAAAAAATCAATTCAGTTTATAAGTATAATTTATTATTTTCTCATATATTAAGTTTTACCATAATTATTTTATGTAATATTTTTTATATGTCTTTGACCTGTAACAATATTAATGTTATATGTCCAAAATGTTTATATTTAAAAAGACTGGCAGTTATATTACTGTTAGTTCAATGGCATGGGCAATGAATCTCGAGATCTCTGTATAATACAATGTACTGCATACAGGGTTATTTTCACCCTTTGTTATTTTTGCCCTTTCACACTAAGTCTAATCCAGACAATTTTGCCCTGTTTTAAATTCGCCCAGTCTTAGTTTTATTTAAAAATTTATACATATATACTGTATTCTTTGAATTCGTCCAAATGTGGGTAGGGCGAAAAGGGGCGAAAATAAAACGGGGGCGAAAATTTCCCTGTATACAGTAGTGTATATGTTATTTATTAGCCAGTAGACATTTTCTATAGG